CTCCTGAGCTAAATGGAGATAACAAGATACAGGTTCACAAGGTTTAAAAATCAGATCCAGTGGGGCACCTGGCTGGCTCATTTGGTAGAGTAGGTAATGCTTGATCTCAGGGTCATGAGTTCAAGGCCATATTGGACCTGCAGCCTACTGGGGAAAAAAAAAAAAAATCAGAGCCTGTGTACAAAGCCACCTGTGCCTGGGTAGACCTGAGCACAAGGCTCCTTTCTTGCCCAGCTCTCTCTCTCCCCACCCTACAACCTTATTATACCAGAGAAAGCCAAACGCCTAAAGAAATGAGTGTTGTCCTTAGGATGGAGACTCATCCTGCAGACAGAGCATGGACAGAGCATGACAGCTTCCATTTTCTCCCTGGTCGATGCCACAAGCACACACATCCACACCTCGCATTCCACACACACACACCTCCCCCTCTTGACATTATAGCAAGACGGAGAGAGAGAGGGAGAGAGAAAAAGAGAGAGAGGCTGTTACCCAAGGGAGCTGTTTCTTCTTGTCGCACAAGAACAGATGCCCAAATCCTAGGACAGCACAGAAATGTGGCAGCAGGAGAGTGAGTCAGAGGAAACAGAATGGTTTCACCTCCAAGATCTACCAGGGCCCAGAGGGGAACCCATGTGAATCACTAGCCTCCCGGAGCCTCACAAGGGCAGGGACCCATGTACAGTTTTCAGAACCAGTTCAAGGTCCAGCTACTCCGCAGACCCCAACCGGCTGGAGATGCGCGCAGCCCCTCACCCCTACCCCTCACCCCCGCGCACCCACCCCCAAGGGAGCAGAGGGCAAGGAAGCATGAGGCTGCATTCTTTCTGAACACAGCTTTGGCTGCCTCCTTCCAGGGAGCCTTCTCATCTGAGGCACTTGCACACTTCTTAGTAAGTAAGTAAGCCAGGCTTACGCTGTGACGTCCTCTTGGGACAGTCCTGTGGAGAAGATGCTGTCCTGTCACTGCGATCACTGAGCCGGTATTTTTACGTAGAACCCCATTAAAGGGGCACCCTAGGCTGGGGGCCCAGAGAAGAGAATGAGTCCTGAGCTCTCTGCTGAGGACTGTAGAGGAGGAACCATCCCCAGGGAGAATCTCTTTCTGGAAAAGTTACCTTGAGGTGTCTGAATTTACTTTTTCGCCACAGCATGTAAAGAGATCCCAGTGATTAGAACTGTAGCGACAACCACGGTGGGAGAGGTGGTAGTGGGGAGGATTTTGTTGTTCCTGTGCTTCCTTCCAGGGCCTTCTCTCTCATCCCAGCCCCCACACCCCAATCCAGGGGCTTCTCATCCACCCTCCTATAACCAGCTCCCCCACCCTCCTCCCCTGTGAAGCCACGCGGGTTCCCCAAGTCCCCTGTCCACACAGGTTTCCTCCCTCCCTTCTTCTGCAAGCTGACCCTCTCCCACTGTGGGTACCATAGACCAAACAGAGTCTAGGAAATGCTCCCTGGAGGCTTTTTGATCCTGTCCTTGTAAATATGAGCTAAAAGTGAATTAGCTGACAAAAATATTAAGGCATCGAAATAATCAAATCAGTACTTTTTTATTACATACCAAGCCAGCATGACCGTTGACAGAACTTCTGATGATCAGAATCCAAACAAATAAAATACGGCCTCTTTCCCCTCCATTGCACCAAATTGTGTTGATCCGTGTTCACTGGTAAAACGCTGACAGCCTGCAAGGAAGATTCAGATGTGTCCCTAAATCGTCACAGAAAGAGTTTAGGCAGATGATTTCCTCAGCTGCTTGCGTGGCTCGCTCCCTGCCTCTTTCGACTTTGTTCAAATGTCACCTTCCTGAAGCCTTTCCAAACGACCCTAACAAAAATGGTATTCTGCTCTGCGTTCCCCAACCCCTCACATTCCTAATCTTTTTCCTTCGTAGCATTTATCACCAACTCACACAATACCCATCTTATGTATTTGTGGCTTATTTGCACAGAAATGAGTGCGCACGCGCCAAAACACTTGAATATAAGTTCCATGAAAGCAAAGATTTGATTTTGACTACTATTGTATTCCCGTGAATTGGAAAGTAAGCATTCAATAAATATTTGTATAGCAGATACAGTTTCATTCACAAACACGTTTTTATTATTCTTTGTTTAAAATAGGTATTCTGGGGATGCCTGGGCGGCTCAGTCGTTAAGCGTCTGCTTTCAGCTCAGGTCATGATCCCAGGATCATGGGATCAAGTCCCACGTCGGGCTCCTTGCTCAGTGGGGAGCCTGCTTCTCTGCCTGCCATTCCCCCTGTTTGTGCGCTCTCTCTCTCTCACAAGCAAATAAATAAAATCTTAAAAAAAAAAAAAAATAGAAGTAGGGGGGCGCCTGGGTGGCGCAGTGGGTTAAGCCTCTGCCTTCGGCTCAGGTCGTGATCCCGGGGTCCTGGGATTGAGTCCCGTATCAGGCTCTCTGCTCAGCGGGGAGCCTGCTTCCTCCTCTCTCTCTGCCTGCCTCTCTGCCTACTTGGGATCTCTGTTTGTCAAATAAATAAATAAAATATTAAAAAAATAATAAAATAAAAATAGGGAGCCTGGGTGGCTCAGTGGGTTAAAACCTCTGCCTTCAGCTCAGGTCATGATCTCAGGGCCCTGGGCTCGATCCCCGAATCGGGCTCTCTGCTCAGCAGGGAGCCTACTCTCCCCCCACCTCTCTATGCCTGCCTCTCTGCCTACTTGTGATCTCTGTCAAATTAAAAAAAAAAAGTCGTAAAAAAGTAAAACATAAAATAAAATAAAATAAAATAAAATAGGTATTCTGTGACTATATACAATTCATTTACTTATTCACTTCACAAATGCTTTTGAAGTTCCGGTCACTCGTCAGGCCCTGTCCAGGGCACCCAGGATTCCCTGGCGAGCAATACAGACACATGATCTCTGTTCTCCTCTGACTCAGAGACTGGTGGGGAGAAGGACTGTACACATTTGTGCATCAATAACTCAGTAAAGATGATATTTCGATATTGAGAAAGGTACAAGGTAAGAAATAAGTAGAGAGGGGGCGCCTGGGTGGTTCAGTGGGTTAAAGCCTCTGCCTTCGGCTCAGGTCATGATCCCAGGGTTCTGGGATCAAGCCCCACATCGGGCTCTCTGCTTGGCAGGGAGCCTGCTTCCTCCTCTCTCTCTGCCTGCCTCTCTGCCTACTTGAGATCTCTGTCAAATAAATAAATAAATTCTTAAAAAAAAAAAAAAAAAGAAGTAGAGAGCTGAGACAAAGAATGTGACAGGAGAGACTTATCGAGTTAGGTCGGGTGGGGATGAAGTTGACCCTGGAAGAGCCAGAAGACCTTTCTCAGCAGTGGAAGAGCCCCCTCAGCAGTCACGTGGACGAGTGAGTGCAGTACAGGCCTTGAGGAGGAGAAGGAAAGAGCCATATTGAGCCTGAAATGGGCTCCCCTCCCCCATTCAACTACAGTCTTTATTAACTATATCATCCTTTTTTTTTTTTAAAGATTTTATTTATTTATTTGACAGATAGAGATCACAAGTAGGCAGAGAGGCAGGCAGAGAGAGAGAGAGGAAGGGAAGCAGGCTCCCTGCCGAGCAGAGAGCCCGATGAGGGGCTCGATCCCAGGACCCTGGGATCATGACCCGAGCCGAAGGCAGAGGCTTTAACCCACTGAGCCACCCAGGCGCCCCAATATATCATCCTTTTTTTAAAAAAAGATTTTATTTATTTGACAGAGATCACAAGTGGGCAAAGAGGCAGGAGGAGAGAGAGAGGAGGAAGCAGGCTCCCTGCTGAGCAGAGAGCAGGATGCCCATGTGGGGCTCCATCCCAGGACCCTGGGATCACCATCTGAGCCGAAGGCAGAGGCTTTAACCCACTGAGCCACCCAGGTGCCCTGAGCTGTACCATCCTGATATGGTCACACAAACTCTGAATCTCCCCACCCCTTAAAATGTGGGTGATGGTACCTACCTCACGGGTGTGGGTTATATTAGCTAATGGCTGTAACAGTTTAAATGCAAAATACACTCCTGGTGTTGTTATGGGCAAACCGATAAGTCCCGGTTCACTTGGTACCTTCCCAGTTAGAATCTCCCACTAGCCTTAGGAAGTCTCCTGAAACAAGAGATACCTGGGTGGCTCAGTCCTTAAGTGTCTGCCTTAGGCTCAGGTCATGATCCCAGAGTCCAGAGATCTAGCCCCGCATGGGGCTCCGTACTTCTCCCTCTCCCCCACTGTTTGTGTTCCCTCTCTGGCTGTCTCTGTCAAATAAATAAAATAATTTTTAAAAATGTGGGGGTCTCCTGAAGTGGAAGTTTGAACTCGGGTAGACTTCGACCAAAGAAGCCATGAGGCCTTTGGGCTGCTGGGCATCTGCCCTGCCCCAGATTGTCCTCGCTGTGTCTTGGGAGATTCTGGGGAGCTGTCTCTGGGCCATGGCTCGCTTCCTGAGCAGGGGAGGAACTTTTCTGCCCAGAGGGGTCTCCCCAGAACTGTTCTTGTCTGCTCTCACTCCCAAAACCTGTCTCTGAGACCCGAGGGATGGCGAGAGATATTTAGTCCCCGAGGAATCTACCCAGGAGTCAAGAGGCAAAACTGGGCTTGGCGTGCGGTCCCTACTGGCCCCAGGACAGCCTACGGACCCCGCAGCAAACCAAACGCCCCGGGGGGAGGCGGCAGGGGAAAGCAGGGCCGGTCCCGGTACAGCGCGAGGATTCGGAGAGCTCGGGACTCGGTGGACCCGTGGAGAAGGAGAGAGGGGAAGGAGCAGCGGGGGAAGGAGAGCCGGGCTGCGGGGCGCAGGGCGGAGTGGGCGGGAAGCGAGGGCGGGGAGGGCGAGAGGCAGGAAGAGGCCACCGGGAGAAGGGAAGACACGCACGGCGGGGCGGGGGTGGAGGGGGGGACGCGAGGCCTGCGGCCGCGGGCACCGCACGGGCGGCGGCCTCGGAGGAGGCGGCCCGGCGGGGAGGGCGGGCCGGCCGCGCGGGCGGGGCGGGGCGGCGGGCGGCGCTGTCAGCGCGAGGCGGCGGGCGGAATGCAGCGGCCGGAGGCCTGGCCACGTCCGCACCCGGGGGAGGGGGCCGCGGCGGCCCAGGCCGGGGGCCCGGCGCCGCCCGCCCGAGCCGGGGAGCCGGCAGGGCTGCGGGTACGGAGCGGGCGGGCGCCGGGGTCCCGGGCGGCGGGCGCCAGGCTGCGGGAGCGGAGGGGTGGGGGTGGGGGGCGGGCCGCCAACTCACGACTCGCGCGCCCGCGCCGGGGAACTTGGGGCCCTCGCCGACCGCCCGGGGAGGGAGCCCGGGGCCAGGGCAGGGGAGAAAAAGTTCTCCGGGCGCGGACCCGCGAGGAGGCCGGGCCCGAGTGCGCGTGGGACTGAAGTTCTGGATCAGTTCGAAGCGGTGATGGGCACGGCTCGGGCGGGGGGGTGGGGGTGGACCGGGGTTCCGCTGGTAGGGGTGAGGAGTGGCGGGGCCGCCCGGGACTCGAGCTCCCAGGGGAAGGTGGACTGATGTGCGGGGCTTCTGGAGCACCCCCTCCCCGGGGCCAGGGGGCTGGGGGCGCGCTGAGAGCGCGGGTCCAGCCTCGGCCCGGGGTCCGCTGGAAGGAGGAGGCTCAGCGCCGCTGTCCCCCCGGCCCAGGTTCTGTGATACACTCCGACTCGGGCTCTGGAGCAGTCAGTGCATGACAGAACTTGGGCCCGGACGGACCTTCTGCACCCAATGGGCACAGCGCCCACCCGGGGCCTGCAGTGCAACATCTGCCTCGGAGTGGAGCAGACACTGGAGTTGGCCCGCACAGCACAGGGTTGGGCCAGAACCAGCTGTGGACCTTTGGGGTCGCTGGACCCTGAGGATGACCTCCTGGGGCCAGCAGATGCCATAGAGCCAGTGGCAGGGTGTCTGCCTTTAGTCAGGAGCCAATGGAGCTCTCCCCTGGTGTCAGTTGCAGGAACCTTCCCTCTACACCATCAAGGCTGTTTTCATCCTAGATAATGACGGACACCGCCTCCTGGCCAAGGTAAGCTCCCACCCTCACCGGAAAGCCCCTGAGGACACTGCTACAGTCCCAAGAACAGAAGTCCCCACCCAGCTGACTCAACTGTCTCACGAGAGACCCCGCTGTGGGCTCTGTAACTCAGAGCAACTCAGCTTAGACCTCTCTAAAGGTCATTCTGTCCATCCTCCTTCCTTGTCCCACGGCTGGCCCCTGGCAAGAGGAGTGTAGCCCCTCTGTTTCTACTCACATTCCCAGAAATGTCTTCTCATCAGTCTTTCCACTGCCCCGGATCTTGGGCCCAGAAGGGATCTCCTGAGGGGTCAGGGGAGTGTCAGGCCTGGAACCCTGGAGCCTTAGTCCCCACATCTATATAAGCAACCTGCACTTCTCTTCTACGGTTTGGGAAACCACTCAGGATTTAGTCTGAGGAGTCTGAGAATTTAGAACCAGACAAGATCTTAGAGACTATACGATCCAACTGTCTCCTTTCACAAATGAAGGAAATGTGGTATAGAGAAGCTAGCTGAGTTGCCCGAGGCCACAAGTGTTACTATCAAAACACGGATCTGAACTCAGGTATGTCGACTTGAAGCTCAGGAGGGTGATTTTCACTGTACCAACTCTTCAGGTGTCTGGTGTCTGGTGTCTGTCCCACGTGGCCTGGGTAAACCAGACTAGAATAATCAGAAAGAAATGGCTATCGCCGACACAATTAACTACAGTAGGACTCTGGCATCTAAACGAGCTATGAAATGCATTCTAGGCTTGTTGGTTTTTTGGGGACTGAAACTTTTTGTCTTGCTGATATCCAAATGAGCTTGTTCACACAGCAGCGGGCCCGCAGGGAGGCCACTGATTTGCCTGCAGATGGGGTACTGAGTGGCAAAACCCACATCCGGAAAATTGGAAGCTGAGCCTGTCACACTCTCCTCCAGCAGATAACAGACGCAGATCAGCCATGCCCAAGGCTCCAGGGCTTGCGCCCAGCAGGACCCATCCATGTTCAGTTGAAGATACTGAGTCAGAGAAAGAGGCTCACCAACCCAAAAGCATCATTAGTTAGACGGTGTGAGCCTGGAACTTTCCCTTAGCCATATAGTCTTCATCACCACAACCCTGTCTGAGGTCAGACCATCCTTGGCTGTGCGCCTTACAACTGTGAGATGTCGGGGAAGTTATCTGACTTCTTCACGCCTCCTCATCCTCATCAGTACAATGGGGATAATAGGAGGAAGAGATCATCGTTATTATGCGGATAAAAGGAGCCGCTGTTGTTACTGTTGGGATAAGGGACCCCCCGGCTCTGCCCTCTTTCCTGTAGACTTGGGTTCCTGTAGCAAGGGTGACCCACTGAGCACCCTTGTCCTTAGCTCATGGATATCTGCCAAATGTACAAAAACCACCAGGAAATCAGGAGAGGACTCCAAAAGCAGGAATTAAAATTCCTCGACTTTTGATGACTTTCTTCGCTTAAAATGTGTGTTTATGGGGAAAGAGTGAGCACACAGGCCTAAAGGGCAACAAGCAGGGGACAGGTCTGTGCTTGGCCCAGCGCCTCCCACCCAGGGAGGAGCCAGGCTCTGTGGAAAAGCGATCACCCCTTCTCCTTCCCTTTCTCATAGTATTATGATGATACATTCCCCTCCTTGAAGGAGCAGATGGCCTTCGAGAAAAATGTCTTCAACAAGACCAGCCGGACTGACAGTAAGTGTCCGCCTCTTCCTTGTCCAGAATTCTCCAATGCACATCGCCATCCTCCCCATCTGGACACATATGTCCCTGTTGGCCACTCATACCCACAAGCCATCCCCTTTTCTTCCTCTCCCTCCCACCTCTTCTCCTCTCCCTTCCTCTGGGAAGCCTTCACTCCCCATCCCTCTCTCACCCCCTGTCCCACCCCCCAAACATACCTAGACCTCTCTCTCATCCGAAGAGGCCACCTGCATTACTGCATTGTGTATCCCCCACCAGCCTGGACAAGGAATTGCACACGGTGGGAGGGGGACCAAAGGTTGACCCTGCACAGGATTTGTTGGCTTCTCCGAATGAGACAGTCACTAGACACAGAGTAGTCTAATGGGGGTGTCTCTAGTGCTAGTTTTTTCAAGGGTTCCTTGCAAAGTGAAGGAGGAAAAGGAGGGAGAGAAGCAGAGCTGGAGATCAGGAGGAGGGGCCCGGCAGAGGGGGCCAGGCCTGAAAGCCCCTTCCATTTCTAGGTGAGATTGCATTTTTCGGGGGCATGACCATCGTCTACAAGAACAGCATTGATCTCTTCCTGTATGTGGTGGGCTCCTCCCACGAGAATGAGGTGAATTCAGGAGGTCGGGGTGACAAAGAGGGTCTGCCCGTAGCTTGGATTCTGGGGTAGAATCTGGGTTATCATGGGTACCCCTCTTTCTAGGCTCTGGGGGCCGGGGAGCAGCCAGAATGATTCTCTGTGGGATGGGACATATCCGTGATGTCTCTTAGGTTCCTTGGGGACCAGAAATGAAGTCCTGGGCAGGAGCCTTGGTTTCTTCCTTGTATATCACCAGGGAAGGATACAATCAATGTCCCACAGTGGGGCACCCCAGTGCTTCTCAGCCCATGCATGGGGAGGCATCCTGGGGTCAAGCTGCAGTCCGTCTCCAGCCCTGTTCTCTTTGAAAAGGGTTGACTGCCCACACAGGTAGGCGTCAAATGCTCCTTTGGGCCTTCTCAACCTCAAGTTCTCTTTTCCTCCTCCCCTATCCACCCATGCTCAGCTGATGCTCATGTCCGTTCTCACCTGCCTGTTTGAGTCCCTGAGCCACGTGTTAAGGTGAGTGAGGTCCTCTGCCCTCCAAGGCCCCCCTCCCCCGCAGGCCTTGATACGTCACAGATGCAGGACCCTTCCTCTGTTTCCCCCTCTGAAGTCCCCAAAAGACTAAGACTGGAGCCAGAGCTGCCTCTTCCAAGGCCCCTGCCCTTTACTGGACCACCGTGGTTCACTCAGAGCAGAGCCACATGAGGGTATGGCCAAAAAATGAGGTCCAGAGAAGTTAGGCGAGTTGCCTGGGGTTACAGTCTGTTTGTATCATGACAGAGACTCAAACTCAGAGCTTTTTGGACTTGAAGCTCAGCATGGTTTTCACTGCAGCCCCATTCAGTTACCTAGTATCTGTCCCAGTGAACATGGTCTGGTTAAACCAAATCAGGATAAACCAAAAATAAATGTCTACAGTTGAGACAATTAGCTATAGTTCAGCTGTGGCAGCTAACCTAGCTGTGAAATGCGTTAGGGCTCACTCGGAGGGTGCGGTGTCAATGTGGGAGTGTGGGAGGTTGGGCAAAGCGGGGACCCAAGCTCGGGAATCCCTTGCATAGGCACTGCCCTCGCTGCCCTTGACATTCTCCTTCCCAGGTGATTGTTGGAGGTGGGGGAGGGGGATGGGTGGAGAGAGGTGGGTCTGCCTCACTTCGGCAGAAACCCAGCTCCTCCTGGCCACGGAGAGGTCCAGGAGCTGTGTCTGCCTTCAGGAAGAACGTGGAGAAGCGCTGGTTGCTGGAGAACATGGATGGGGCCTTCTTGGTGCTGGACGAGATTGTGGATGGCGGGTGAGGAGCCGGCGGGGAGAAGAGGGACGGCTCCGGGACACTCATAGCGGGAGGTGCCTTTGAGGGTCATCAGCTCTAGGTGGTACCAAGCACATTGTTGGCTCTCTGGCCAACCCCTCCCGCCTTTCCCTCACCCCGCTCATGAGGATGGAGGTTGATTTCAGCATGAGCCAAAGTCAAGCAAACCAGAAAGTAATCTCAGGTCAAAGGATGGCCGGTGGTTGAACAGGCAGGGTTTGGGGGAATGATTTGATCTCCGGTGCCCAGGAGGAAGGGGCAGCACAGGCCCCTGCCCCTTCCTGAGAGATCTCCATTCAGCTCCCTACTACCTACCTACCTACACACACACACACACACACACACACACACCTCTTAGAGCTCCATCCCTACTTAGATCAGCCAGATGCATGACCTTTCCTTATCTTTCCAGTGGGGTTAAGGGGACAACCTCAGCAGGTGTGGGGATGAAATGAGGCAAGGCAGGTGAAGCTCACCCCTCTTGTCCAGGGATTCAAGTGACCTGTCTAAGGTCTTGGCTGCCAGGGTGCCAAGATCGAATGCCAGGTGTATGGTTCCAGAAATTGTGCTCTTCCCACGACACTGTGCACTCTGGGAGATGGGGCACCACGTACTCCTTGCCTCCTCCCTCTCTCCTCCCTCTCTTCTCTCTCCCTCCCCTCTCCCTCCCTCCCCCCTCCCTCCTCCTTCCCACCCCCACTGCCTGTTGTGGCAAGGCCTTGTGCTAACTGCCTGAACCCCAAAGCCAGTGGGGTAAGACCAGCCTTGGTGGGACCCAAAGTGTATACAATTTTGTGGAACCTCTTTAAGGAACACGTGCGTACACACACACACACACACACACACACACACACACACACACACAAACTTATAAATACAAAATGAAGGCCTTGGAAGAGCCTGTGCAAGGGCAGATGTAAGCTTTATGTGCCTCCAGGTCTCTGCCCCCAGAGGAGCTCAGTTTCCCTCTAAGGAAAATGGCGGCAGTGTCGGTTGAGACAGTGCCTGGACGGGAGCCCTGGCTTGGGATGTTCCTGTCTTTATGGACGATAGGCTCTCTGGTGAAGGGGTGCCAGGTGCCCCAGTGATAGAGCCTGAAAGAGAGACCTGGTCACTCCCCTGGGACTGTCATGAAAGCAAAACTCGGCGTCTGCCCTAGAGGAGCCTCCTGGGGTGAAGAGGACCATCCAGTCAATCCCCCACCCCGGTCCCACCCGCAGTGACCAGCCCTCACACCCGCACCCCTGCTCATACCCACAGACACTCCCCTGCACCCCCACTGTGTGGCGAAAGACTGCGGGATAGCCAAAAAAAGCCTTGATCCTTGGGTCTATCAAAAGTGGAGATAGATTCTGATTTTAAGTGTCCTCTTCTCCTGTGTGGCGTGACCCCGTGGCATAGAATACTAGTGAAACCGGATGGGATCCCCACGGGCCCTCCCTTCCTTCACCGCATCAGCATCCATCCCCAGATCCAGAAGGTGAAGGGCACTTTCAAGAACTCAGAGTGTTTCAGTCTCTGCTTTTGACACTCTGATCATTCTAGACTGGACTAACTCCACCCCATTTCAAAGCTTTTGACCAGGAACACCCCATTTCAAAGCTTTGTGACCATCGGGTTTGAGGCATAGAGGGATCAAAGCTGAGGAATGTCAGTGGGAAGGTACCTGGAAGGGGCAGCTGCAGGAGAGTAAGGGAGGGAAGGGGGCCCGGCGGGGAGAGGCCACAGAGGGGGGAGTCATGTCATTGATTGTCCTCCTGGTTTCTGTCTCATCTTGTAGCGTGATTCTGGAGAGCGACCCCCAGCAAGTGATCCAGAAAGTGAATTTTCGGGTAAGAGTCTTCCGGCAGGTCCCTGACTCCAGTGTCGCTGGGCTGCCCTTTCCACCCTCCCTGCCTCCTGTCCTTCCCGTGCAGGCAATGCCAGGGCCAGGAGACTAGGAACCCGAGCTCCTCTAGCAGAAGCAAGTACTGGGTCGATGCACCTGGGGGGTGGCAGTTAGGAAAAGAGATCTCATGACCTCTCTCCCCCTGTAGAATCACCAAGTACCTCACCATCCTCCCCAGTGGGAAGTACAGAGTGGGGAAAGAGAAACATTCTCCAAGAGACACCAGGTGGCTGCCTTGGCCTTGAGTTTGGAGAGTGGGGGTACTGAGAGATGCTCCCTGCCTAGTTTGGGCTCTCATGTCTGTATGAAACCTTTTCTCCCATCTTTGTTCCCCTTCGTGCCTTTGCTCTCTGTGCACCCAGAGACGGGCCCCAGGGGCCTGGCTTCCAAGTGGCCAGCTGCAAGGCTCCCACTCATCATTCAGGTGTATTCGGGGTCCCCCGCACCACTGCATCCCCTCACTCCCCCCTCCCAAGCCCCTTTCCTTCACCTTGCTCGCTTCCCCCGAACCCCTCCTCTGGGCTGACCGCCCTGGGACACTGCTTCCCTGCAGGCAGATGACGGCAGCCTGAGCGAACAGAGTGTGGCCCAGGTAAGGCCCCCTGCATCTGCCTTGGCCGGAAGTGGGCTAGAGGGAGGAGAGCAGAGCCTCCCAGAGGGACCAAGGGGAGCCATTGAGGCTGAGAAGTCAGGGGTGCCGGAGGGAAGGGATGGGACAGTGACAGGCCGTCTCCTGGAGAGTCAAGGCACAAACTGGGTATTAGTAAGTGCTGGGTGCCTCACCAGCATCCCGCCTCATCTCCTGGCTTGGCGTAGTTGGGTTGAAACCCTGGGGTGAGCTGCCACCCTGATGACTGGTGTGCCTTGTCCCCCAAAACATTCTGGGGACCGAGGCACCTGATGCTCCCCCAAACCCAGAAAGGATACCAAATAGTTTTTCTCTAACCTCTCACCCCATGCTGCTTAGGGTTCCTGCTGGAGTTGTTAAGGGACCCCCTAACCGTCTCCACTCACCACTTGCACCTTGCCCCTGAATGACCTGGCCGTGGGGACGCCCACCCCTGCCAGTCTCCTGCATGGTCCAGTTTGGGAGGCATGTGTGGCAGGGGTGAAGCTGGGGGCGGGGCAGGTTCCTGGACCTGTGGCTGACTGGTTCCCCAGCTGTGCAAACTTTCTGCTTGTCAGGCCCACTGCTTGACCTCCATTCTGTCTACCCACAGGTCTCTCTGCCCAGACTAATCCTGCTTTTATGGACCTTCCCGCCTCAGTGCACTAACTCCCTCCTGCTGTGACAGCTAAGGCAGGGGACGGGACCCAAGCCATCCCACGTGGAGCCCCAGGTGTGGTGCCCACTTCCTTTCCTGCCCTTGCTGCTCACCCCACTTCTCCCTCTTCCCAGTTCCCCCCGACCCCGTGCCTTCTCAGACCTTGCTGGGATGAAGGCAGCCATGTGGCAGTTTTCAGGTCAGAGAGAGGCTGGAGAACAATGAGCAGAACAGTTAGGAACACAGGTGCTGGTATGAGTTGTCCCAGGATGTCTGTTCCACCCTTCCACCCTACTGCCTGCAAGCTGTGTGACCTACAGCAAGTTACTCAACCTCTCTGGGCCTCTCATGAAGGGCAGGACACTCTTCACAGCATTACTAGGAGAATTAGGAGAGCTAATGCGGGAAAGCTTTAGGCCAGCTCCTATTTTTTCCAAAGGGGGAATGAATTCTTGAGGAAGAACCAAGGAAGTTGTAGGTAGTGAACGGGAGATGAAAGGAAGGGAAAGTTAGGTTTCTGGCTGGGAAAAGCTGGAGAAACCCAGGGCCAGGCAGCCCTTGAGAGAGGAGGGAGACTGTGCAGGGGTGAGAGACATAACAGCGTGGGCTGGGACTTCTTCCGAGGGGAATGAGGCCTGATGGCCAGAGAGGTGATCTGAGGGACGGACCTGGGGTCCTCACCATGTGGGCATTGTGTGTGCACAGTTGTATGCATTTGTTTAAGTCCTCAGCAGAACTGGAGAATGAACGCATCTGAAAGCAGGTGTCCCGTGGCAGCACTGGGCCAGCCCCCCTTGGCCAGCTGTGCCACATCAGCAGCGGGCTGGGGTGGGGTGTTGGGGACACGCTGCCAGCCCCGGCCACAGCTAGGGGGTTGCCGAGGAGTCTGGGCACAGGGAGTGACCGGCCTGGGCCTCGTCTCTGCCTAGACGTGGCACTGTGGGCGGACGCTTCAGTGGCAGGGCCTAGTAGAGACCAGGCTTAACCGCCACACCCCTGGCTGCCGCCTGGGGAACTGTGGCCGGTGGGGCAGGCTCGGGCCTGAGCTGGGAGCTGGCTGCAGCCAGTTTGGACTGCTGTTTTGCGGGCCTGGCGCCACTCAAGCCAAGCACAGATGAGCTGCTGCCACCTAGTGACGGAACGTTGCAGGGACACTTAGAGAAGGGCTTGTAGACCTCCCCATCACTACGGTGTTAGGGCACTTGGTATCCACCCCCCCCCCGCCCCCACCCCCCCTGTTTCTTTCACTCAACCTTATTCCCTATCCCCCAGGTTCTTCAGTCTGCCAAGGAACAAATTAAATGGTCGTTACTGAAATGAAGGCTGTGCATTCAGGTCTCCCTGCCCCCAGAGCATTTCCACAATCCTGGCAAAAGCTCAAAGACCCCAGGGAACAGGAGAGATCCTTCTGTATCCCTAAGCCCTCCCAGACCTGACTCCTGAGGTCTCTGGCCAGGGACTCTGAGATGCAAAGATTGGGCTTCAGCACTGACTCACCCCTTCTCACTGCCCTGCCCCTTGGGCCATGAGAACCAGCTGAGCTGCCTTAACTCAGACCTTAGGCATCCCTGGCCCCAGAACCCTAATAAACCTTCTTTGTCTCCTGCTAATGGTCTCCTTCTCTGCTGGCCTGGGAAGTGTTGTGTAAGTTCTGATGAGGGCTCCCGCACTGTCCGCGGCTCATCTTCAGGAGGCCCAGGACCGAGGTGTCCAGGGCTAGCCCTGTGGTCGCGTGATGGGGGAGGGGATCAAGAGAAGGGGACGATTTATCATCGTGAGGGGGTGTGATACTGATACCACGGGGCCCCCATGTGATGGGAAAGGCTAGGTATGGTTGCAGGACATGGTAAAAAAAAGTAATAATGGCTGAAATGGCGCACATTCGGGGAAAAGGAGACAAAAGAGGGTACTCCTAAGCGGCACAAACCTCCAGGGAAAAGAGAGGAAAAGATGGTACACACATGGTGGCCCTACTGGGAATTCTTTGAATCACTTTTTCCATTCCCAGCTTCCAAAAGGGAAGGGCGGAAGGCTTCCTCTGACAAACTGAGGAACAGCACGCCCGTTTTTTTTGGCATGGCCGGCGCCGCGGAATTCCTCTGCTAGCAGACGTCCTGGGCACCAGAGCCCTGCGAGCTTGCCATGGTTGGGCCTGATGCTGGCATGGGCCAGCCCCACCGTGCATGTATGTCCAGAGCACCCTTGCGTTCCAGAGGGTGTGGGTGAAGAGTGGAGGTCTGCAGGGAGGGGAGAGAAGGGCAGGGGATGCCAGGGGCAAACGGGAAGGATGGAGCGACTTCCTCGGCGACGTAACTCCCCTTCTCTCTCCCTGTCCCAGAACCTCCCGTTTCTCCCTTTCTTTCCCCGCCGCGTCCCGGCGACCCTGTACAGCAATCCCCTAGACTGTGTAACGGTCGGTCCCGGAACAGCTCGTTTCCCTCGATACCTTTCCACGCTCCGCCCCGGCCCCGCCCCGCTCCCGCCCCTCTCTGGCACAATTTTCCGCGGGGAGTCCCGCCCCAGGACCGCATCCGCGATCCTACAGCGTCACCTGGAGGGAAAAGAGGGAAACGCGCCCCCTCCGGGTCCTGCTCCCCTGACTAACTCCGCCTCCAAGGGCGGAACCAAACCCTGTTCCCAAGATCCTCCCAGGCCCCTGACGCTAATAACAGGGCGTTGCCCTAGCAACCAGCACGCCTGACCCGCTCTGAGAGTTCCGCGCCAGCGTGGGCTGAGTTTCTGCCAGCTGCTACAGTAAGAGTGCAGCGAGCCTTGGATTTTAATGGACGCTGTCCCTGCGGGTTACACGTCCTACATTATAATCTCTCTAATATTGGTTATTTATAATGGGTATGACTACTTCTGTAATTAGAGAAAATGATAAAGATAGAGTTATGTAAACAAATACATTGTAAGCGCTGCGTACATAACCCATTCCAGGAAATAATGCAACAAGGCAACTCCGACAGGGAAAAAAAGAATATGCAATTAACTGCTATAGAGTTCGGGGCCAATGTAGCGACGGGAAACGAGAAGTTCTCCAGGAATACTTTGGCAAATACGCGGTTTCATCCAGTGCCCGGCACCATCCACTGCTTCTAAACGGACCGCAAGGTCGGAAGGGGCAAGTTCGCTTCCTAGCAACCCGGTCGCGCCTGCGGAGGCCCTGCAATTCCAGTTATGCAGGGACTGGAATGGGAAGGCCCGGCGCTGCACGCAAACTGGTTCCCTGAATTCCTGTGGACCAAGCGATGCTATCCCCATTTTACCGAGGTTGCGCACCGAGGCTGTGAAAGTTAAACTGTGTGCAGCAGTTTCTGCAAAGCGCCCTGGGGAAGGAGAACTGCTGGGGAGAGGTGGCTTTCCTGCACCCCCTGACCTAGGGCCGGACAGGGACTGTACTGGGTTAAGAGGAATGAACGGAGAGGGCATTGTAACGCCGAGAGGCGACTGGAAAGGTGTCTGCTAAAGGACTATGGGGAAGGGGATCGCAGCAAAGCAGCCGACCCAGGCCCGCAGCGAGGGGAGGATAGCGCGGAGAGGGCACTGGAAGCCGAGGAATGGGGGACTCTGGTTCTTCCCGGGGATCCCAAGTTTGCTGGCCCTGCTCTCTGCCGGCCGAGGCGGAGACTCCGTTGAGCCTTCGGGCCCCTCAGCGCCCGCAGCTCCGCGCAGCCGCGGGAACCGCAGGCCTGGCCGTCTGCCTAGAGCTCTGCCCGCTGGCACCGGCTTTCCCGCAGACGGCCTCATTAGCGCGGCCCCAGGCCGGAGTCGGCGGGCGCGGAGCGGAGCACGCAGCACCCGGCAGGCGGGGGCGCCGTCTGCCCGGGACCGGGTTTCGGGAAGGGCAGTCGGCGGTTTCGGGGAGGGGGGGCGGCGTGGGGAGCGGCCGCCGAGGCCTTGCCTTCCCGTCTGTTCTCATCCCCAGGGGCCCTCCTGCTCTTTCTACATTCTCCTCCCCCCTCGTCCTCGTGCGCGACCCAGCGCGTATCGACTATCCATAGACAAGGGGACTTCAGGACGCCTGCTTTTCTCCTACAGAATGGGCACCAGGGCAAGTCAGAAACCGAGACCCCAGGGGCTTAGGTCCAGGCGGAGGGCGCACACGGAAGCACTGGCTCCGGGACTGTGTTTGCCCCGCCTAGACCGGGCTAGGGACAGCAAGTTAGCACCTCCAGGCCCTCGGACCCCATTTAAACCACTCAGAGCCGGGCTCTCCCTCACGCGCCCCGCGCGCCCCCTGCTTCCCGGCCATTGGCTGGCAGGAAGGCAGAGCTGGTCGGATTGGCTTGCATCCAGACAGAGATGGATGGCTCCCCACTGGCTGGACCGTGTCTTTGCTGGGAGGCACAGGTTGGCTAAGGCGGAGCCAGCCAGGCCTCGGAATGGGGCGGGGGATGAGCCGGAGCCCTGCCTTAAGATCAAATTTTCTGTGCCCTAAAATCTACAAAGAAAAAAAAAAAATCTTAGTAAATTCCCAGTAAATACCCTTTAACTCCAGAACCTGATGTAGGCAAAGTTGGAAAATTTACCCAAAACGGGTTTGGCACAAGCCTACAGGTTCCCTTTACCCTCTAAACTGGGTCTCTTTCATTTAACAATATTCGTGGATTATACTCATTCATTCATTCATTCATTCAAGTATTTGAGTGTTTGCCATGAGCCAGAAACTAGGGAAAGAAGGGAGACTTTGTTGCAAGTAATTGACTTGGCAGTGGGGTAGAAGTGGAGGGCTGAAAGGAGAAATTCGTTTGGGGAGATATTTCAAGGTAGAAGTACATTGTAAAAGCAAATTATGTTTTGTTTTGTTTCTTAAATGTGGGCTCCATGCCCAGTGTGGAGCTCAACGTGGGGCTTGAACTCACAACCCTGAGATCAAGACCTGAGCTGAAATCAGAAGTCAAGGGCTTAACCACCTGAGCCACCCAGGTGCCCCTAAAACCCAACACTGTTCTGTGTCTTTATCTGAACAGTGGCAAAAATTCAAAGATTACACTTAAGATGTGTGATCTTTCCCGTAGGTAATTCATACTTCACTAAAAAAGAAAAAGGGCGCCTGGGTGGCTCAGTGGGTTAAGCTTCTGCCTTTGGCTCAGGTCTTGATGTCAGGGTCCTGGGATCAAGTCCCGTATTGGGCGGGCTCTTTGCTTGGCAGGCAGCCTGCTTCCTCCTCTCTCTCTCCCTTCTGCCTGCCTCTCTGCCTACTTGTGTTCTCTCTCTGTCAAATAAATAAATAAAATCTTTAAAAAAAAAAAAAGAAATGAATTGAATGGCTGCCAAATTTTACTCTAACGTTGACATTTGTATGGTCTTTACCTGTTTCCTAATCTCTTCTTCATCTCTGCCAACTAAAACTGGAAAACATCTTCGATGAGGATCCAAAGAAATGAGAGCCATTGTGAAGCCCACGTAGATTTTACCCGGCCCAGGTAGATGAGTGCCATCCCCCAGAGTGGATCTTTTGGTAAGGAAAGCAGTATTGATAATTAATAATAATAATAACAATAATAGTAGTAGTGCTAGTAAAATTCACTTTTATATATATATATATATTTTTTTTTTTATTTGACAGAGAGAGAGATCACAAGTAGGCAGAGAGGCAGGCAGAGAGAGAGGGGGAAGCAGGCTCCCTGCTGAGCAGATAGCCCGATGTGGGGCTCGATCCCAGGACTCTGGGATCATGACCTGAGCCGAAGGCAGAGGCTTTAACCCACTGAGCCACCCAGGCGCCCCTAAAATTCACTTTTGTTGGGAGTGAATTCCTCTACTTATTTACTTTTTAAGATTTTTATTTATTAGACAGAGAGAGAAAGCACAAGCAGGGGGAGCAACAGAGAGAGAGAGGGAGAAGCAGGCTCCTTGCTGAGGGAGCCCGATGCGGAGCTCTATCCCAGGACCCTGGAATCATGACCTGAGCCAAAGGCAGACGCTTCATTGACTGAGGTACCCAGGCGCCCTGGAGTGAATTCTTTTAACAGACATTTATTAACCATCGGTTCTGAGCCAATCACCTTGCTGAGGGTGGTGGGAGCATTTCAGATAACTTGGAAGACACAGCTCCTGATTTGATTGGGAACAAAGTCGCATATGCAGAAATTATAAATATCCGACAGAGGAGATTGTGTGTCACATAGTATAGGAAAGAAAGAAGGGAGCAATTGTATCATATCTCTGCAAAAGGCAGAGAATCTCTGTTCAAGGAACCGCAGGTGGGCAAATGTAGCTGGAATGGATGCTGTGTGTCTCTGTGGGGGAGGCTGCGGTGTGATGAGACAGGAGGCTTCTCCCGAGACAGGTTGGGGATGAATGTTGTGTGCCTTGCTGGGGACTAACAGCCATGAACAGAGCGTACTACTCTGTACACCTTAGAATCATAACTGTCCTCCAAACAGCCTAACGAGGTAGATGTTGTGAACCTTGTTTGTACAACTCAGGGGACCTGTGGGTTTGGATCATTTGCCTCGTGGCACAGAGGTGAGGTTTAAGTGCATGCTGATCTGATTCCATGGCCTGTTGCTATCTGCCCCAACCACAGAGCTATGGAGCTTGGCTTATATTCTGGAGGCTTTAGGGAGCCACTGAAGATTTTTGAGCAGTTAAGGGATA